TAGGGGAGGGGAGAGGAAGGACGACCGGACAGAACAGGGGATTCTCAGCAAAGATTGGTTTGTGTGAAATTTAATTTTTTTTAAATTTATTTATTTTTACTTTATGCATTGGTGTTTTGTCATGGGTGTCAGGTCCCCTGGAACTAGAATTACCAACAGTGTGAGCTGCCATGTGGGTGCTGGGAATTGAACCTGGGTCCTCTGGAAGAGTAGTCAGTACTCTTAACCACTCTCTAGCCCGTGAAATTTGATTTTTAAGGCCATAATCATTTCAAAATTATTTGCTGTTAGAAATTAAAATGAGTTGGCTAGTAGTGGTGCAGGCCTTTAATCCCAGCAGAGGCAGGTGAATCTCTGTGAGTTCAAGGCCAGGACAGCTGTTACGGAGAGAAACCCTGTCTGGAGAGAAAAAGAAAGAAAGAAAGAAAGAAAGAAAGAAAGAAAGAAAGAAAGAAAGAAAGAAAGAAAGAAAGAAAGAAGTTAAAATGAAATTATGCCATGAGTTGAGAAAACCCAGTACAGCAAACGATGAATATTTAATGAGAGTACTGCTTCATGATTGGTTGTTTGTTTGTTTGTTTTTTGTTACTTGTCTTTGATAGCATGAATGTTAGTAGCCTAGGAGATTTTGCTCAGGGACTCAATCTAGATTCAGTGTCTGGAGCTCAGATGGAAGGAGGGACCTGGAAGCAAGGATGGTGTCGAAGATGTGTTCAGTTGAGTTTTGAGGCAAAACAATTCTAGTGGCAATACGTGGAAACTTGAAATTATTTTCCAGATAATTAAGCACCCACCCCTACCCCTCTACATCAAATTGTGTTAGTTAGGGTTTCTATTGCTGTGATAAAACACCATGACAAAAGGCCACTTGAGAAGGAAATGGTTTAGTCCAGCTCATAGATCTCAGATCACAGTCATGGAGGAGTGTTGCTTACTGGCTTGCTCCTCATGGCTTGCTCAGCCTGCTTTCTTTTTTTTTTTTTAAATTTTTAAAATTAATTAATTTTTTACATTCCAATCCCAGTTCCCCCTCCCTTCTCTCCCCTCGATCTCCCCACTTCTCCTCCCCCCATCCCAGCCTGCTTTCTTATAGCACCAGGGACCACCAGTCCAGAGGTGGTTCTGCCCACAACAATCACCAATCAAAAAAAAAAAAAAAATGCACCACAGGCTTGCCCTTAGACCAGTCTGGCTTTTTCTCAGTTGAAATTCCGTCTTTCCAAATGACTCCAGCTTGTATCTCATTGACATAAAACCAGCCAACACAGAACTGCAGCTTAAGAAAGAGCAGTCACACACAAGTGTCTTGCACTGTATCCCACTAGCTCTAGTGTAGGAGAAGCAATAAGGGCAGGGGGCTCTGGAGGTCCGAGTACCATGGCTGGCTACGCATATCTTCTTCAGGAGTGAGCCGCCACCAGCCAGGCCCGTCCTCTAAGGTTTTATTCTTCTGTGTCCTCCAGTTCACTATATAGGAGAAAACCAACAGAAGGAAGTCAGACCCCAACGTTTCACACCAGCTGCTGTCCTGTCCCAACCCCCAGTCTCTGTGGCCTCCCCTAGAAGCTGTACACTTATCCCTCTGGCCTGTATCTGCCTATATGCATCGTCGATTCATGCCAGCTTGTTCTAAGTCTTCTATAGAGTATGCTTCCGTTAACATTTTTTAATTTTATTTATTTTATTTTTATTTATTTATTATGTATGCAGTGTTCTGTCAGCATGTATCCCTGCAGCCAGATGAGGGCACCAGATCTCATTACGGATGGTTGTGAGTCACCATGTGGGTGCTAGGAATTGAACTCAGGGCCTCTGGAAGAGCAGTCAGTGCTCTTAACCCCTGAGCCATGGCCCCAGCCCCCATTAACATTTTTTTTTTTTTTGCTCTGCTTTCTTCCCTTCCCCACTTCCTGGACTGTGTCCTACTCTTGTGGTCCCCCCTTTTCTTCCTAGTCTCTGTTGGGCTCCCCACTGCCGGGTCCTTCCTGCTGTCTCCCTCAACCTTCTATATGTCAAGTGGCTTATTGGTTTTAATGCTTTTGATTAAGTATCTTCAGAATCCTTACTGTGTGCTTGCTTTTGAGGAGTGAAAACTCAGTAGTAGAAATGTATTCTGGGGACTAGAAAAGATGGCTCAGTAGTTAATAGCACATACTGCTTTTATAGAGGACCTGAGTTTGGTTTCTGTCTCTTTGTAAGTAGCTCACAACTGCTTATAACTCCTGCTTCAGGGGCCCATGCCCTCTCCTGACCTCTACAAGCAACTGCAGTCCCATGCACACACCCACACACAGATACACCCACACATATATACATAATTTACTTATTTTGATGTGTATGAGTGATTTGCTTGTACGTATTATG